CGATCTTAGACCATTACGGCCCACAGAAAGAGAGAGAGAGAGGACCTTTTTTTTTTCTTTTTTTTTTTTGTCTTCGGTTGTTGTTGTGTGTGGCCCCTGGGACCATTCTCGATATAGGGCCTCGCCATGTCAGTGTCGAAACGAAAAAAGCAGGAGTGCATCTTCCTCAGAAAGTGGCAAGATGCATCCATAGTAACGGATGCATCTTGCCGTTTTCTGCCGCAATATGCATTCGCACTTTTTTTCGTTTCGACACTGACGTGGCGAGGCCATTATGCGTTTCATCGTAAAATTTGCGCAGGGGGCCATCCATGCTCATCATTTTTCTTTTGAGGGGGTGGGATGCATGCTAATCTTCTCCTTCTCTTTTTCTTTTTCTTTTTCTTTTTTATTTTCTTTTTCTTTTTTATTTTCTTTTTTTTATTTTCTTTTTTTTTATTTTCTTTTTTTTTCCCCTCTTTTTTCAAAGGGCGTCTGCCTTGAGATATCGTCCTTTTGAATTGCAATATAATGTGTTTGGTTGTGCAAAAAAAAAAAAAAAGGGATATTGTCACTGAAGCTGACAAGGGAAAGCGTGCGCGATATGAGCAGTGTACACGCATGTATGAAACGAAGTTATTCTTTTCTTTTCTTTTTTTCCTTTTTTTTTTTTTTTTTTTTTTTTGCTTGTGAAGAGCAATGTGGCCATTGCTGACCTTATTCTTCTGACAGGCCCCAGGTAATTGAGAATTTATGTTATTCTGGCCATCTGATTGTATCTGGTCTGGATTCGAACTTGAGTCTGTATTTCAACAGTCCATGCTAACCTTCTCTTTCTCTGTATCGTTCCAATTTTGATGGATGCCCTGCACGAAGGGCAAATTGACATGTATGTCCTTCATGTACCGTTGACGTGCGTGACCGTAATTGAGGTCAGTCGATCTGACAGAAAGTGAGGCCATATTCATACTACCTTCTTCCCCCGAATACAACGTACGGTCATTATAGCTGTATCTAGACTGAAAGATACCCCAAATACAGCAATGATGACCGTACGTTGTATTCGGGGGAAGAAGGTAGCACTTTTCTAAAAATATATCCGACTGCAATAGTGGCAACAGCTGGATGAATCTGACCGTAATCACGTCCACAGCTCGGTCGAAAAAGTCTCTAGTGCCCTGAGGGCGCAGCAGGTGAGCGCGAGTGAGGAGAGGAGAGTGAGTCCTCCGAGAGACATCCATCCGTTGAAGTAATCGGTACGGTACAGAGAAAGAGGGAAGATTGGCAATTTTTTATTTTTTTTTAATTTTTTTTTTTACGAGATTGGCAATTTGGATGACACGCATTAATCGACATATGGTCCAAATTGGAAAAGAAAAGAAAAAAAAAAAGAGAAAAGAACGACAGAAAGAATGGAGAAAGAGGGAAAACAGGGGAGCCAAATTGCATGTAAACGGGAGGCATGTGAACACACAGCCACGAGAGAGAGAGAGAGAGAGAGAGAGAGAGAGAGAGAGAGAGAGAGAGAGAGAGAGAGAGAGAGAGAGAGAGAGAGAGAGAGAGAGNGAGAGAGAGAGAGAGAGAGAGAGAGAGAGAGAGAGAGAGAGAGAGAGAGAGAGAGAGAGAGAGGGGGGAGGCAAGGACGAAGGGAGGAGCGGGGAAGAATCAGTATCTCCCCCCTCCGCCCCCCGCTTTCCTCGTCTTGCCCCTTGCTTACGTCAACATTGCTACTTCTGCGAAGGCCTTGAGTCAGCTGTATAGTGGCCTGTACGCTCTCTGTGATCTTCTCTGATACGTATTTCTTCAGCGGTCGTGCGGAATCGTCGCTGGCGCTGGCACTGGCGCTACCTTTGCTCGACTGAAGAGGAATCATCTTTTTCAAAAGCCTTTGCAAATCAAGAAACAAAACTCTCTCCCGCCTCTCTCTCACCCGCCTCGCTCCAACGCTCCAATCCACTTCCCCTCACCGACTCAGTTCTACGGTCTTCACTCGAACAGAACAACGCGAGGTAACTGTGGCCGTATCTGGCCTTAAAATTGCCCCAAGTACAGAGATAACGACTGTCAGTCCTCTTCGGGTGAAGACGGTATCTGGCCTCTAATTTACGCCAAGTACAGAGATAATGTCGGTCAGTTCTATTATCGTGATGACGGTAGCTACCTACCCGTAGTGACCGAGTGGATGATTTGTTTCAATCCTGCTCGTCCAGATCAGGGCCGAGGTCCCACTAGCAAAGAGGATCGGATCGAATGCCTGAATCTGGACGTATTTTATGCAGAGATGCAGAAAAGCAGTTCAATCTCGATTTGCTGCACATCTCCACGACCTGGTCCAGATTCAGGCATTCGATCCGATCCTCTTTGCTAGTGGGACCACGCCCCAGGAGTTCGAATTCTGACTGTCCGATCAATCTCCTTTCTTTTCTTTCTTTTCTTTTCTTTTTTTTTTCCTTTTTTTTTTTATGTATTCTTTTCTTTCTTCGTAGGTGGTAACTTGTAAATGAAAAAAAAAAAGGGGACATTTTCGATATGCCCTTCACAGTTCGATTGATTTGCAGCGTGCCCATCTAACGGCCGACTTACCCTGCAGCGCCCCTCTGACAGAGATTGAAGTGTCAGAAAAACCCCTGGTGTCGTTTGGGCCTGAAAAATGTTCAATATACCCCTATCGGTACCGTTTCCAAATTTCGAGTATGCCCTGGTAGCTCCCCTCCCAGAGCCAGGGGAACGATCACGTGTGCCACCAACGGCCACAGGGCATGCTGGAAAGTTGCTACCCTCACAGAGAGGGGCCTGCAGGAAAGTTCAGAGGGCCCAGGGGCACGGCAGGGTAAGTCAGCCGTCGGAGGGGCACGGTGCAAATTTATTGAACTTTCAGGGGCATATCGAAAATTTTCCCACCAAAAAAAAAAAAAAGGAAAAGAGTGTAGGCACTTGCCTCGTTCGAGTAGAGGAGGAAGGGCAAGGACTCAGACCTCCATCAGGTACCATACTGATTATCTTAATTTAATTTAAGACTATTTATTCATTAATTAATAATTAATGAATGACTACTATTTTTTTCTTCTATCTCTGTACTTTTATCTACAAACAATAAAAAATTCATTAATATTTTCCTAATGATATTTCTTCATATTATATTGTATTTTAGATATGCTTTATATTTATACAATACAATATGTTTATATTGGTTCTGACACAAGTCAGAATTAGGGAAAGCTGTAATGAGGAAGGAGAATGGACAGCAACTATTGCAGAAAGGAGAGTGGACCCAACTCAATGGTCCTGGAGGGCCAGGGGCGTGGATAGTTCAGATGTGCCAGTGCTTGATTTCTCTATTGAGCTGGGATGCAAGCTCCAGAATAGGGCAAGATCCCCCCAGATGGTAGCATCTGACAGATGGATAAAGGTGATCCAGAGCTGTAATGAGGAAGGGGAATGGACAGCAACTGTCTGGGGAAGCAGTAAACCCATTGCAGAAGGGAGAGGGGACCCAACTCAATGGTCCTGGAGGGGCAGGGGCGTGGATGGTTCAGATGTGGCAGTGCTTGATTTCTCTATTGAGCTGGGATACAAGCTGTGAAGGTTACCCTAGGGGTGAAAAGTGGGGGTACCTGTTAACCATTTGTGCCCCCCAGATGGTAGCATCTGACGGATGGATAAAGGTGATCCAGATGGACCCGGAATTCGTCATTAGAGATGTACTTCGCTGTTGGCAGCAGCTGTATCTTATGCCCCGGACAGAGACTCGCAGTCACCCCATGGCTGTTGTGACTGTTAGCTACCCCGTCAGCAGTCTGGCTAAGGGAGAGAGGAATGCGAGTAGAAACAAGCTGCAAGAGATGTCAGTGGGCCTTTGAGTACTCAGTCCACCTCTGGTGGGACTGCCCAGCCTCAGCCCGAAAATTTTGGAAATGGTGGGTCAGAATGTGGGATAGGATATAGAACAAAGCCGTCCCCTGGGGCAAACTATGGGTTCTGCTGGGCGGAGTCCCACAGAACCTCCAGCTAGACGAAGGTTGGGGATACGTAGCCCAAGTGACTCGGGCGATAGGCTTTGCAGTTATCTGGGCAGGGAGGAATAAGCAGATCTTCAATGCAGAGGACCTGGAGAACAAGGAGCAAGTCAATATGTTCAGGCTTCGTATTAGAAATGCTATTGCTGCAGATTGGAGAAAGCGAGTGAAAAGGGCAGTCGACGGCAGAAAGGGCAGAGGATGGTTCGACAGAACTTGGGCAAATCGAGGAAGTCTGGTGTCGGTAGTCGGGGATCAAAAGCTGGTCTTTTCAGATTGGCTACAAAAGGGCAGATAGGGTGAGGAGTAGGTTAGCGAAAGCATAGATTAAACCCGGCGCACTCGGTTGTTTAATTCCGCAGGAGGAAGGATTGAGGGATAGATAGGGCTCGCGAGTGTCCAAAATTAGGCAGACCAAGGTCCATCCTACCGTTGTAGGTGGGGGAGTTATTTACAGGGGTTTTACCCTGAGTAATGGGGTGTTTAGTATTAGGACGAGTGGGGATAGGACAATAGTGGATTGGGGTTGGTTGGAGGTCTCAGTATTCCTTTTGGTTGCGTTGGTAGGGGCCAATTTAGCCCCTTTGACAGGTTATTGAATTGTTTTCTTTTATGTCGTTGGCTCTGCCAAGTGTCGTCGCTCTCCTCTCTTCTCATCCAGTCTCCATCCGCTATCCTCGTCCGTCATCGTCGGAGTCCTTGTCCTCCCTACTCCTCTTCCCCTCCTCTTCCCTCGTTCCTCCCACTGCTTTGCGTGTAAAGGGCAATTGGGCATTGCTTGTCTTCTATCTTTCTTTGTCTGATCTCTCTCCTGGCTCGCGTTTTGTTTTCATTTTTTCCCTGTCACAAGATAATCAGCGTTGCTCTTTCTTTCTTGGGAAAATTTTTGAAATGCCCCCGAAGTTTGCGTTTATTTGCGGCGTGCCCCTGTGAAGGCCGACTTACCCTGTGGTGCCCCTCGGGCCTCTGAAATTTTCCGCAGGCCCCTGTCAGCATGGGCGTAACTTTCCGATATGCCCTTACTGGACCGCTGGTGGCATTTCGTCGGTCCGTCCTTGAAATGCCCTCGCGAGGGGCACACATCTTTCTGTGATGCCCTTGCAGCAGTGGCGCCAGGAATTCGAATTCGAAGTGGTAGGCATTTCACGCGCTGCCACGGAAAAATGGTGCGGCAGTGAGTCTTCGAGTTCGCCGCGTGGGTGATCGATGCATTGGAGTGCATACGGCTACCGTGCGAAGGGGAGCGTGCGCACGTGTGTGTGTGTGTGTCCATGCTCATCACCCTCCTCCCTCCTCCTCCATCCATGCTCATCGCCCTCCTCCCTCCTCCTCCGTCCTTGTCGCTCTCCTCTCTTCTCATCCAGTCTCCATCCTCTATCCTCGTCCGTCATCGTCGGAGTCCTTGTCCTCCCTACTCCTCTTCCCCTCCTCTTCCCTCGTTCCTCCCTCCAACTTTCTCCTCGTCACCCCTCCCTCTTCTCCTCCTCGATTGTCGACCACCTAACCATCACCATGATCGTCTACTTGGCGTCATTGCCCATGCACGCGCGCGCGTCTGCATGTGTGTGTGTGTGTGTGTGTGTGTGTGTGTGTGTGTGTGTGTGTGTGTGTGTGTGTGTGCGTG